CTGTTCTGTCAAGGACTTCCAGATCTACGATGTGGACTGATAATAGTTAATTTACGTAACTCTAAAGACGGTATTTCGGCGTCAGTGTTCTGGTTATTGCAGGCAGAAAGTAGAGCTACTCTGATAGTATTCCGAACTACTCAAAGGCAAAAAAGAAACATAATTATATTATTGTTTTACATTGAGCTGGAAGGTTTGCAGAAGAAGATAAATACAGTGAGGAAGAAGAAAAGGAGAGGGAATAGGAAGAGGAAAAATCTATTTACATTCTGAAGACAAGAGTCAGGTTTCCCGTGTGGGGGAAGTTTTTGTTTGTTTTCTTTGTTTATTTGTTTGTTTGCTGTTTGGTTTGTTAGTCAGTTTGTTAGTTTATTTGTTTTATATCCGGTATCCCAGTTTGCTGGGTTGTTTCACATTTTTTTAGTAGAGGGTTTTACGGCGCTCGCAACTGCTTAAGGTCGTATGAGCGCCAAGGGGTGGGTGTCAACAGAGAAGTCCTTACAGGGAATCAGACTTACTCTGCTCACTTCTTTAGCTTCAACAGCACAAGGTCTGCTTCGACTATCAAGGCACTCCGGAAATAACGGGTCACAAGAGTGACAAACATACAAAAGTAGAGGGAAATGACAATAGTAAGGATTAGGAAAGAAAAAGCAGCAGTTCCCTGTTGCAGATCAGGCACAGTTATGAGCGTGACATGATGAATCAGCCCATTTACAATTCTACTGTGCTTGAACGAGAAATGTCCCCCCTTTTGGAATGGCCTAAAGACACTACAGTCAGTGGCACTACCCCGGCTGTAGTTGTTTCACACTGAAGAAAAACATCGTCCAATCCATAACAGGGCATTCTGAACTTGCATTTTTTTTTGGAGCTTTTTTTAGGTTCTCTACCAATTTGGCTCTGTCTAATCGGAGCTCGACATTAAATCAGGAAAATCCAAAGTCTCTGCTGACTGAAGGTCACTTCTTTTCTCACGAGGGAAATTACAGCGGCTAGACTTTCTTATCTGTACCGCTATAACTGTGTCCTTGGTAGTAAAATTACTACGAGAGATCGTGTTTATCTTTGGGGACCTTATGATTATTTTTCATGAGAAGGCACATTTTTTAAATTACTGTTGACGTCCTATGACGTTGTGGAAGGAAAAATGATCTTTTTTGCTTGCCCTCCATTTGTATTTGCCATTTCGTGATAGTTGTTGTTGTTGTTGCAGCTGCTTTTGCTGCTGTTGTTGTATTGTTATTGTTCTATTTCTTGTTCCCTTTCTATTTTCAATCTTCTTCTTCTTCTTCTTTTTCTTCTTCTTCTTCTTCTTCTTCTTCTTCTTCTTCTTCTTCTTCTTCTTCTTCTTCTTCTTCTTCTTCTTCTTCTTCTTCTTCTTCTTCTTCTTCTTCTTCGATAAGATACATATTCTTTATTGTCCAATTCCTGGCTCATTGGTTTGGTGTTTCATCAAGGACACACACACACACACACACACACACACACACACACACACACACACACACACACACACACACACATACACTCACACACTCACACAAACAAACACACATGCACACACTCACAAACACATACAAACACACACACACATGCACACACACGCAGTATGCTTGCACTCATAAAAAGGCCCACAGTCATATGCATAATATAAATGAACAATAATATAAACAATAATAATGTTAAGCTAGATACATACTCAGTAGTCTGACTGCAAGTTCTTCTTCTTCCGACATTATAAAGATATCTAAAACTTGGCTTCTTTTGTCACTGTTTTTTTTGGGGGGGTTGTTTATCGACTCAGACATGCCCACGAGGTCGGTTGATGACCAACGGCGTGGCTGACACTGCGCTGCCTCAGAATTATTAAGTTGTATCTGCCTCAGAACTGTTAAGTTCTATTTGCTCAGTACCGAGTTTAAAGAAATTTGACGTAAACAATTCACAACACGTCAAGCTTTTTCGAATGCAAGTTTAAGAACGTCTTGAAAACGATTCCGAATAATCTTATGATTTTTTGAAGAGCAGACAGGGCATTTGGTTTCTGACCTCATGGTCGTTGTAACTCAAAACGGCCGAAACTATCGGATAGAATGTTGAAATTCTAAGGTAGCAACTGGTTCAAATCTTAAATTGAATGTTTTCGAACAACATTTGTTTGAGAAAGCATGTACGACTCCCTATTCTCAGGACGCCTTTCCTTAGGAACTGGACATTAAATCTCAGTGCTATAAAAATTATTTAACTATTGTTTGTGATACAGCTTGTAAACAGCTTTACAAACATTTCAACACAGACGGTTCTTTAAAAGACACATCATCCTATTTATTTTTGTTTTATCAAGAGTATTACTGTTGCAAGTGCTGTACAACTTTTACTAAAACAAACGTAAATCAGATGATTTGTCTTTTAAAGACACATCTGTGTTGAAATGTTTATAGAGCTGTTTATAAGTGGTACCACAAAAGAGAGTTAAAGAATATTTCTTGTGCGAAGAACCCCCCCCCCCCCCCCTAAAGCAAAAAAAGAATAGGCAACTTTAACAAATTAAACCCCTAAGACACAAAAAAACAAAAGAGCAGACGAACACAATGCTGGGGTAGAGAAAACTCGGGTGTTCCCGGAGAGCGTTAAAAGTATTGAAGAAATTAAAAACTATTAATTATTAATTATGTTATACAGAAAACAGAACAGAAAACTTGACTGCTATTGTCACTATGTATATTTTATCAATTTCTTTCTCTCTCTCTGTCTCTCTCTCTTCAACTCTCTCTCTCTCTCTCTCTCTCTCTCTCT